GATCAAAAATGCTAGATTTGTGGTGAAGGTGGATGTGTGTAACGTCCAAAAGGAATCGTTTCCGACCGCATAAAGTATATATATTCTTGATCAGCATCAATAGCCGAGTCGATTGAGCCCTGTCCGTCTGTCCGTCCCCTTCACCGCCTAGTGCTCAAAGACTATAAGAGCTCTAGCTAAAACCAATAACGCAGAATCGTAGAGGATGACTATATGTTCTAGAGTGTAAAATCTCAACCAGATCGTATAATTATTATAGCCAGAATCAAGAAAACAATTTCATTCTTTCTCGCTCTGTCTCTCTCTAACACACAGGTTTCATGCTCGTTTTTGCCAATTGCAAAATATGAGTTCAAGGATCTCAGAACCTATAAGAGCCAGAGCAACCAAATTTGGTATCCGAACTTCTGTTAAATCTCACTATAAAACGTATATCTCAGAATTTCGCCCCACCCCCTTCCGCCCCCACAAAGGACGAAAATCTGTTGCATCCACAATATTGCACATTCGAAAAAACTAAAAACGCAGAATCATAGATAATGACTATATCTATCAGATTGCTGAATCTGGATCAGATCGGATCATTTTTGTAGCCAAAAGGAACCAATCTATTTTTAGTGGCTACGCAGCGCCCGACGTCACGCTCAGACTGATTTTCTGTCTCTCTCGCACGCACTCTTTGTCGTGTCGCTTAATATTAGGGGCGTCTGCCGGAGGAGAGCCATACTGACTAAGTATCGGGTATAAACGTAGAGTTGCGGTATCCGCAGCAACTCACAACGTTCCCCCTCGTTATACCCGATACTAAAAATGAGTATTGGGGTATATTAGATTTGTGGTAAATGTGGATGTGTGTAACGTCCAGAAGGAATCGTTTCCGACCCCATAAAGTATATATATTCTTGATCAGCATCAATAGCCGAGTCGATTGAGCCCTGTCCGTCTGTCCGTCCGTCCGTCTGTCCGTCCCCTTCACCGCCTAGTGCTCAAAGACTATAAGAGCTCTAGCTAAAACCAATAACGCAGAATCGTAGAGGATGACTATATGTTCTAGAGTGTAAAATCTCAACCAGATCGTATAATTATTATAGCCAGAATCAAGAAAACAATTTCATTCTTTCTCGCTCTGTCTCTCTCTAACACACAGGTTTCATGCTCGTTTTTGCCAATTGCAAAATATGAGTTCAAGGATCTCAGAACCTATAGGAGCCAGAGCAACCAAATTTGGTATCCGAACTTCTGTTAAATCTCACTATAAAACGTTTATCGCAGAATTTCGCCCCACCCCCTTCCGCCCCCACAAAGGACGAAAATCTGTTGCATCCACAATATTGCACATTCGAAAAAACTAAAAACGCAGAATCATAGATAATGACCATATCTATCAGATTGCTGAATCTGGATCAGTTCGGATCATTTTTGTAGCCAAAAGGAACCAATCTATTTTTAGTGGCTACGCAGCGCCCGACGTCACGCTCAGACTGATTTTCTGTCTCTCTCGCACGCACTCTTTGTCGTGTCGCTTAATATTAGGGGCGTCTGCCGGAGGAGAGCCATACTGACTAAGTATCGGGTATAAACGTAGAGTTGCGGTATCCGCAGCAACTCACAACGTTCCCCCTCGTTATACCCGATACTAAAAATGAGTATTCCGTCCCCTTCACCGCCTAGTGCTCAAAGACTATAAGAGCTCTAGCTAAAACCAATAACGCAGAATCGTAGAGGATGACTATATGTTCTAGAGTGTAAAATCTCAACCAGATCGTATAATTATTATAGCCAGAATCAAGAAAACAATTTCATTCTTTCTCGCTCTGTCTCTCTCTAACACACAGGTTTCATGCTCGTTTTTGCCAATTGCAAAATATGAGTTCAAGGATCTCAGAACCTATAAGAGCCAGAGCAACCAAATTTGGTATCCGAACTTCTGTTAAATCTCACTATAAAACGTATATCTCAGAATTTCGCCCCACCCCCTTCCGCCCCCACAAAGGACGAAAATCTGTTGCATCCACAATATTGCACATTCGAAAAAACTAAAAACGCAGAATCATAGATAATGACCATATCTATCAGATTGCTGAATCTGGATCAGATCGGATCATTTTTGTTGCCAAAAGGAACCAATCTATTTTTAGTGGCTACGCAGCGCCCGACGTCACGCTCAGACTGATTTTCTGTCTCTCTCGCACGCACTCTTTGTCGTGTCGTTTAATATTAGCGGCGTCTGCCGGAGGAGAGCCATACTGACTTAGTATCGGGTATAAATGTAGAGTTGCGGTGTCCGCAGCAACTCACAACGTTCCCCCTCGTTTTTTTTGTGTATATGTATATACATATGTACATACAAGCAAATTTACTGGTCAGAGCAATTGTAGATATCAAACATTTAGGGGAATTCCTATTTTGTGGAAATTTAAGGGGATTCAATTTTTGCAATAGAAATGTGTTGAAATGTGTTTGGGAACTATCAATGCAATCAGACGAGTTTGGTAAAGACATTTTTTATACGCAAACTTAATTTTCCAATGTTTCCTAATTTTAATAGGTTTTAGAGATAAGGAACCAATAACCAATTTTTGTATACGATCAATATCTTTTTTACATGGTTTTATCAGGAACCAATCTACCGTGTAAAAACAGAATTAGATGTACTTTATGTTTTCAGCCTTACGTTTAGATTTCGGTTTAGGGGCTCCCGGTTTTACAAATTTTTGGTATCGATATGTTTCAATTTCTCATCGGATCTGGCAAACAAAAACAGCTGACCTGGTTGCTTTGAACGTATACAGCGTGATAAAAATGCTTTTATTTTTTCAATTTTTTGTTTTGAAGTAAAAAGACGGCAAAAAGTGCGCAAGTTAAGAAGATCAAGATATCTTAAATGCATGTCTTACAAACTGTAAGTAACAGCATGCATATTGAAAGTTAAATCGAAAAATGAATTTGTTGTACCTACATTTTGAATTGAATGTGGCGGGAAACCGCTCTTAGCTTACCCAGGTTTCTGGTACTTTCGTGTTACAAGCATAGTCTGTGATGTTACATGCAGTGTGTGCTGTTACATGCACATTTGTGCTGTTACATGCACATTTGTGCTGTTACAAGCACAAGAAGGAAGCGTTTCCGGCCCCATAAAGTATATATATTCTTGATTAGCATGAATAACCGAGTCAATATAGCGACGTCTGTCTATCCATCTGTTTGACGCCTAGTTCTTAAAGACTATAAGAGCAAGAGCAACCATATTTTTTATCCGGACTCCTGTAATGTCACACTGTCACAAGAGTATTTCAAAATTTCTCTCCGCCTCCACAAAGGACGAAAATGTGTGGCATCCAAAACTTTAAAGATACGAGAAAACTATGAAGTAGATTCGGAGGCTGAATCCAAATCAGCAGCCCGTTTTTTTAAATTGGTTCTAGTTTTCGAAATAGGGTCCAACAGTAGTCGCTCATCATGCCTTCGTCCCAAATCCTTGGTATCGCCTTTCGATTTTCGCTATATCTTGATGTAGCCGCTCTCCTTACTCGTCGCTCGTACTGCCAAAGTTTTGTGGGAAAGATGTGAATGCAGAAAATGTATCTTGAGAGACATTCGAGCTCCAATCTTGTGGTTTGTAATCCGGTGATTTGTAGTTACCGATTTTCCCACGTTTTCGGAGCATATAACAGCCTCTGTACAACGTTTACAAGTTTAGCACAATTACAGTACAAAAACAAATTCCGAACGATGTTCGATGCAACGTAGTCAGTTGACAGCTGTTATAAGAGCGCAGTACCGCCACCATCCGCGAACTCGATAACTAAAACCATTCTTGACAAACGGTTTGAAGATCTGAGTTTAGGGCACCAAATAACGGTAAAAATCGTTATCATCTGCTCGGGTCAAAAAATTGACCCTAATTTGTGAACTTGTGTTATTATAGCCAGAATGAACAAATCAATTTGCAGTGGCTAGTTCAATAGTTCAGTGTAAAGTTTAACACAACCAGATGTAAGATGCTAAAGTTAGAGGAAAAAAGAAGCACTAGCTCAAAAAAAAAACATTAATAAAATAACAGTTTTTTTCAATTTAAAAAAAACCATACAACAGAAAAATATGAGGGGGAACGCTGTGAGTTGCAGCTGCGACCGCAACACTACATTTATATCCGATACATAATCAGTATGGCTACATTAAACGATAGCGACAGAAAATCAGTCAGAACGTGTCGACGGCCGCTGTGTAGCCACTGAAAATTGATTTGTTACTTTTGGCTATAATAATAATCCGATCTGAATAGTCTCTGAGATTTGTGGATGCCCCAGATTTTCGTCCTTTGAGGGAGCGGAAGGGGGTGTGGCGGAATTTTTAAAACTAACTCGTCATGGTCCGATATCACAGGAGTGTGGATCAAAAATTTGGTTGCTCTAGCTTTTATAGTCTCTGAGATCGAGGCGCTAATGTTTTACGCTAAGCCAAGCCTATGATACGTGTGTGTTAGAGAGAGACAGGGCGAGAAAAAACGAAATTGTTTTCTTCATTCTGGCTATAATAAGGATACGATCCAATTCAGGTTCTGCAGTCTAGAAGATATGGTCATTCTGTACGATTGCGTTTTTGGCTTTTTCGTATTTTTAAAATTGTGGATGCCACAGATTTTCGTCGTTTGTGGACAGATAGCCATGGCTCAATCGACTCGGCTATTGATGCTGATCAAGAATATATATACTTTATGGGGTCGGAAACGATTCCTTCTGGACGTTACACACATCCACTTTTACCACAAATCTAATATACCCCAATACTCATTTTGAGTATCGGGTATAAAATGTTAGCGCCAAATCTATCAGAAAACGTTGGTTTGCTTAGAAGTGTAAATAAAATGTTAAATTTTGTTGCCTAGTATAATTTATAAAAATAATGTCACCGAAGAATGTTCTTTAAACTTAATTTACATTTTAATTTTGTGATTTTTTAAATATAATTTATAATGATTATGGTCCCTGCTTATAAAGTGAAAGCCTGGATCAACCATGGAAATGCCGCAACTGGCTGCAATACTGGAGCAGCCCAACTCAACATATAGTGGAAGCAGCAACGTCAACAGTACTGACACAGTCACAGAGCATCTGAACAATGAAAAACATAATGAACATATTACAACTCAATTGCGACAGTTTGGAAGGCCCACGTTGGTAGTTTCGGAGGAAGAAGGGGCTGCTTCCAGTACATCGTACTCATTTTCGGGGAGTTCTCTTGCTGGTGGAAACATTGCTGATTTGAATAAATCTGACGATTCTGGGACTGCACAGTCAGTACCGACTGACTCTGAGCCAGGCTTAAGTGCTGATAAAAAGGAAACAACTGGCAACAGTTCTAACGATAAGGAACATAGTGATGAATCACTTTATGAGTGTAACATATGCTTGGACACAGCAAAAGATGCCGTGGTTAGCATGTGCGGACATTTGTTCTGCTGGCCCTGCTTACACCAGTGGCTATTGACGCGTCCCAGTCGTAAACTCTGCCCCGTATGCAAGGCTGCAGTTGACAAAGACAAAGTCATACCACTTTATGGTCGAAATAGCACGCGGCAAGAGGATCCTCGGTGAATACAACTTAAGAAATAAACAAACAAAAATTTAACAATGATATTTGCTTCTTTATTTCTACAGCAATAAAGTTCCCCCACGACCCGCTGGCCACCGCACCGAGCCAGAACCGGTGCCTGGTTTCCCTGGCTTTGGATTTGGTGATGGGTTTCATATGTCGTTTGGCATTGGCGCTTTTCCTTTTGGTTTTATTACATCTTCACTTAATTTTGGTGAACCGCGTCCGCCTGGTGAGTTCGTTTGCTTTATTGTTCTTTTCCTATGTCGTATGGCCAGTCTCTTTATTTGCCTACTTCTCTCTAACTTTTAGCTGCCAATCGCGGCACCACGCAATACGAAGACGAACAGACACTTTCCAAGCTGTTTCTTTATTTGGCTTTTCTGTGCATCGGATGGTTACTCTTTGCATAAAAATCACACAGCCGTATATGAAAATGAGAACAACACCATTGACATTAAACCGTTAAGGAAAATCGCAAAACATCAAAAAGCAGTTCCAGCAGCGGAATTTCAGCAATTACGAAACTATCACACACCAGTGCATTGAAATCCGAGTTTACTGGTTATAATGCGATCAATTCACAAAAAATATTCAGCGTCCTGAATGAAAAAACCACAAAAAGGGTTTAGTTGTGGGTGTGGCCCCACAATATTATTATTAAAAAACCAATTATTTCTGTATGCTCTGGATCGCCTTTATATATTGATAATTATAAATTAGTTGTAAATTATAAACGGAAATACATACATAACCAAATGACGAAATTTCTCAACTGACGTTAGTTCAATAGTTTCATTTCAATATGTTCTTTTATCTCCAGAACTAAGTAACAAATTATACTTTTGATCATCATTCTTAATTTACAAATAGAATTTTCTTTAATACTACTAACAAGGAAATTGAATTGAAGTTATTCCAATTCCATCACGTGCACTAAGCTCTACCAAGACAAAGTTTGTTACGCTCGGATCCCAGGAAGAACCGACCGCAGGGCTCTGCTGCATAACGAGCGACATTTATACGAGGGCTGCTTTTTATATTTCGGGAATAGCAAATATGAACCAAAGCTTTTAAATGAAAATGATTTTATTTTTATACCCGATACTCAAAATGAGTATTGGGGTATATTAGATTTGTGGTAAAAGTGGATGTGTGTAACGTCCAGAAGGAATCGTTTTCGACCGCATAAAGTATATATATTCTTGATCAGCATCAATAGCCGAGTCGATTGAGCCCTGTCTGTCTGTCCGTCTGTCCGTCCGTCCGTCCGTCCGTCCGTCTGTCCGTCCCCTTCAGCGCCTAGTGCTCAAAGACTATAAGAGCTAGAGCAACGATGTTTTGGATCCAGACTTCTGTGATATGTCACTGCTCCAAAAATATTTCAAAACTTTGCCCCGCCCACTTCCGCCCCCACAAAGGGCGAAAATCTGTGGCATCCACAATTTCGACGATACGAGAAAACTAAAAACGCAGAATCGTAGAAGATGACTATATCTTCTAGAGTGCAAAATCTGAACCAGATCGTATAATTATTACAGCCAGAATCACGAAAACAATTTCACTCTTTCTCGCTCTGTCTCACTCTAACACACAGGTTTCATGGTCGGTTTTGCCAATTGCAAAATATGAGTTCAAGGATCTCAGAACCTATAAAAGCCAGAGCAACCAAATTTGGTATCCACACTCCTGTGATATCGGACCTTGACCGTTTCCTGTCCAAATTTCGCCACACCCCCTTCCGCCCCCGCAAAGGACGAAAATCTGAGGCAACCACAAATCTCAGAGACTATTAAGGCTAGAGTAACCAAATTTGGTGCACACACTCCTTTAAGATGTCACTATAAAACGTATATCTCAGAATTTCGCCCCACCCCCATCCGCCCACACAAAGGACGAAAATCTGTTGCATCCACAATATTGCAGATTTGAGAAAACTGAAAACGCAGAATCATAGATAATGACCATATCTATTAGATTGCTGAATCTGGATCAGATCAGATCATTTTTATAGCCAAAAGGAACAAATCAATTTGCAGTGGCTACGCAGCGCCCGACGTCACGCTCAGACTGATTTTCTGTCTCTCTCGCACGCACTCTTTGTCGTGTCGTTAAATATTAGCGGCGTCTGCCGGAGGAGAGCCATACTGACTTAGTATCGGGTATAACCGTAGAGTTGCGGTGTCCGCAGCAACTCACAACGTTCCCCCTCGTTTTCCTCTAACTTTAGCATCTTACATCTGGTTGTGTTAAACTTTACACTGAACTATTGAACTAGCCACTGCAAATTGATTTGTTCATTCTGGCTATAATAACACAAGTTCACAAATTAGGGTCAATTTTTTGACCCGAGCAGATGATAACGATTTTTACCGTTATTTGGTGCCCTAAACTCAGATCTTCAAACCGTTTGTCAAGAATGGTTTTAGTTATCGAGTTCGCGGATGGTGGCGGTACTGCGCTCTTATAACAGCTGTCAACTGACTACGTTGCATCGAACATCGTTCGGAATTTGTTTTTGTACTGTAATTGTGCTAAACTTGTAAACGTTGTACAGAGGCTGTGATATGCTCCGAAAACGTGGGAAAATCGGTAACTACAAATCACCGGACTACAAACAAGTAATCGACAATTTTTTGAAGAGTTACCACAAGATTGGAGCTCAAATGTCTCTCAAGATACATTTTCTGCATTCACATCTTTCCCACAAAACTTTGGCAGTACGAGCGACGAGTAAGGAGAGCGGCTACATCAAGATATAGCGAAAATCGAAAGGCGACAGACGTCGCTATATTGACTCGGTTATTCATGCTAATCAAGAATATATATACTTTATGGGGCCGGAAACGCTTCCTTCTTGTGCTTGTAACAGCACAAATGTGCATGTAACAGCACAAATGTGCATGTAACAGCACACACTGCATGTAACATCACAGACTATGCTTGTAACACGAAAGTACCAGAAGTAAGCTAAGAGCGGTTTCCCGCCACATTCAATTCAAAATGTAGGTACAACAAATTCATTTTTTGATTTAACTTTCAATATGCATGCTGTTACTTACAGTTTGTAAGACATGCATCTAAGATATCTTGATCTTCTTAACTTGCGCACTTTTTGCCGTCTTTTTACTTCAAAACAAAAAATTGAAAAAATAATTTTTTTCTTACCAATTCCGCTTTGAGCGTTGTCTGGCACATTGGTCTGATACCAATTTGTTTTGGAAATTTTAATTTTTCTTCGTAAATTTTCTTAAGAAAATATTTAAATAATAAAAATGGAATTCGCTGTGGTCTGCGCCAAAAAAACCTGCAAGAAGCAGATCACTCACGATCAGCCGAATGACCCCTGCTGGCTCTGCGACAGCGTAGTCCACGCAAAATGCGCGGGATTTTCTGGCCTCGTGATTGATGCTATAGCCAAACGTAATGGCTTGCATTATAGTTGCGGGGCATGCCGTGCGGTGGAGAAGGAAATGGTATCTTTTATGAGGCAGACGCGGAGTGGCTTTAAGGAGCTGACCGTTGGTTTCAAAAACCAATACGATCGGCTCCTAGCCATGGAGGCTCAGTTTAGCGGTTTAAAACTGCTGAATGAGTCTCCGAGGCGCAAAAAGGTCACTCCGCGGGACCTGCAAGTGCCAACCGTCACTCATCCGTGCGCCGCCGAAAAACTGACTCCGACCACTTCAAGTGTGCAGCAGTTGATCTCGTTTGCCGCTCCAAATGCAACGACAGCTGCTGGCGATGCAGATTCGGTAGCCGAATTCATCGCCTCGGAGAATGTGCAGCCAAGTACGTCTGCAGCGTCCGTGTCCGTGGTGTCCGCAAGTTCACTAGTTGTCCCGTCTATCCCGATCCCACCAGTAAATAGACGTTCCGGACCTCCGGATATTGCCACCACAGGTACTAGACCTGTGGTGACTAAACCACTGGTGGGAGTCCCACCAAAACGACAAGTTTTTGTTTCACGGCTGGCCCCTGACCTCACATCTAATGATGTAACTGCTTTTATTCAAAGCAAAATAAAAGCCGTGGGTTTAAAGGTGGAGAAATTTAACTTCTCTTATGACAGGGAGATAGCGTCGTTTAAGATAAGCATCTCCCCAACTCAATTTGACACCATTTGCTCCGCAAAATTTTGGCCGGAGCATTTGGTGGTGAAGGAGTTTAAGGCAAAGAAGAAGAATAGGCCCCCATATCGCTTCCAAATCTTTCCAGCGTGCCACCCTCAACCTCAATTTCCTTTTCCTCAACTTCCCGTCTTGCTCCAACCTTTCCAAAAAACGAACTTCTCTTTTAGTAACCTATCAGAATGTAAGAGGCTTGCGTAGTAAGCTCAGCATTCTTTTCCGGGATAGTGTTGCATTTGCTTCCCACGTTATTGTGTTTACTGAAACCTGGTTAAAGCCGGACATTCTTAGTTCCGAGGTTTTGGCAGGTCGGTACACAACTTTTAGAAAGGACCGTTCGTCTCGACGTGCAGGAGGGGTTCTAATTGCAGTGGACTCTTACTTCACGTCAGAACACTTCACAGTCCAAGTTCAACAGGAACTGGAATTCCTGTGTGTAAAACTGATTCTTCCCGCTTTCGCTATATTCATTACTTGCTCGTATATCCCACCTTCTTCGGATATTTCAATTTATGATCAGCACTTGTCCGCTTTAAACCGCTGTTGCTTCCTCGCTATCTGATAAAGATCGTATGATAGTTCTTGGTGACTTCAACCAGGAACTGTTTGGTCTTCGGTAAACGAGTCTAGTATCCTAGTGCCCATGTCACGACATGACTTTGTTGACGGCTTGCTTGACCTGTCCCTGTCTCAAGTCAATCATGTGAAAAATTCCTTGGGTCGATTGCTTGATCTGTGCTTTGTTTCGGATCCGACCATAGTGTTGTTAACCCGAGCCCTTCCGCTCACTATACCTGAAGACGCCTACCACCCTACTTTCGAGGTGTCGCTAGATATAGGACCAACTGTATTGTATCGGTCGAGTAGACTACCTGAACGTGTCCGCTTCTTTCGTAAAGCCGAGTTTGCGAAGCTTAATAACCCAATTAGGGATTTTGATTGGTCCGCTTTGTACTTGTGCACTGATGTGACAAAAGGCACAAACATTTTTTACAATGCTCTTGGCACATTTTTTGATTCTTGTGTCCCGCTTTCTTGTCCGATTAGATCTGGAAAGCCCCCTTGGTTTACCAAAGAGTTATCCAGTCTAAAAAACTTAAAATCAAGACTTTATAAAAAATTTCAAGAAGTGGGCTCTCATACTTCTCACTCTCGTTATGTAATAGCTCGGTCAAACTTTTCAGTTCTTAATGCTCAATGCTATAAGAACTGCCTATCTCGTTGCAGGATACGTTTTTCTGAGGACCCTAAACAGTTTTACTGCTTCGTAAACAGTAAGCGTAGAACGTCCGCACACCCATCCTCGCTATCATTTTGTAATACGTCGGCAAATAATGATCAGGCAATTGCCGATCTTTTTGCCCAGTTTTTCCAAACCACCTATTCTGAGGAACGCTACTCTGGTCAACCGTACCCATACGGATTACCGAGGTCGAACGGCATTTTCAGTCCCTTGTTAAATGAATATTCCCTACTTCATGATATTCGACTAGTTAAGCCGGTGTTTTCACCGGGTCCAGACGGGGTTCCTCTCCATAAAAAAGGTAGCAAGTCTGATGCAAAAAATTATAGAGGTATGGCAAAGTTATCCGCTATTCCCAAATTGTTTGAGAAGGTTTTAACTCCACACTTGCAACATCTCTGCAAGT